GGAAAATGTTACTTCGTACACCTGTTTCTTGTGCTGTCTTGTTTCTAAAGGATGGTGGTGGGGAGGGTGGTTAGAAATTAAAGACTGCCTGTTTCTCCGTAGAACTGCTAAATCTATTTTATGTCACTAGGATAAGCAGGGAACTGTCATTTGTTTAAGATAAGCATAAGGTAAGATAGTCTGTAAAAGGAAAAATGTGTAACTGTCAGCAAAAAATGGACATAGTCTCGTGTATTAGAGTGTCAGCATAGGAAAGTTTTCTTGCTCTCTGTCACTACACAATAGAGCTGAGTGGATCAACCCCTCACTCCAAATATGATTAGGTAATTTGTGTAAGACACTTGGTATTATTTGTAAGTCTTATGTTGAAACACCTCTTTCAATAAAATTGTCCAGATGAGGATTACTGGATTGGAAAGACTCTAGCAGCTTTTTCCTTTCTGTAAGTGTAAGTCTTTGTACTTGACTGTGGATTTAACTTCTGGCAGAAAAGAAAGAAAGTGGAGAAATTGGGAATATTGTATTTTGAAAACGGGTTTCTGAGTAGTTGCTGATACTGGTAAATAGATGAACTGCTTGTGCATTTACTTAAACATTTCTTTGCAATAATCATAGAAGCACTTAATTTCTGAGTCCTCAAGCCTTTCAATCCCCACTGATCTGGAAAGTCGTGCTAATGCAAGTCTAGCACTTGAGAACAGAGCGGATGCTGTGAAAAACATGTTGATTGCTGAATATAGAGAAAATGGAATTTAAAGAGTGTGGTGCTTCAGCTTAAGCGTAGGACTAGCACTTTATTAAACCACGTCTCCTCCTGGCACTGAAATTTTAAGAATATTTCCCTGACAAGCATGTGGAGCGCTCTGGCTTCCTGGACACAGACGTGCTGAGCTGCGGTGCTCTCTGGCAATTTTCCCCCTCCAGATCAACGGAACGGGTAACACAAATGTCAGTGGAAGCTTTGAGTCAGACTTGGAGAATCCAGAGAACTTGAGGATAGAAAGGACTTGCTTGCTAATCCTGTGGGTAGTTTTACTTGCTTTGATGTGAGAATGTGCATAATGTTTTGCTGGGCCTCTTCTTTTTCTCTAAGATGATTCCATAATTCAATAGTTATATTAGGGAAATTCATTATCGTTCAGCCTCCGATAGGCTTATTGTGGCACCACAAGATGTGCTTTCTTCTGGTTTATTGCTTTCTACTGCCATTTCTAACAGTTTAATTTCTCACCATTTATTGTTCCACTGTTTCATATGTATTTAGCTATTTCCTAGTGTTGTGCTTCACTAAGGCTGTTCATGTCCCTGTCAGACTCCTGCACTTGGTGTAAATGTTTCTGCACATTCATGTCCTTACAAAGATGTTACATGGAGACAAGACATCAGGCTTGTTTACTGAGCTCCAGTGTTCAGTAATTCACTTATGAAATAATTCAGTAATTCACTTATGAAATAATTCAGTAATTCACTTATGAAATAATGCACTTTACAAAATACTGCTAAGCAGAATTTTCTATTTAAAACACACTCTTCCTTGCGAGTGATGGTGTAAGACAAATGATCCTTTTATTTACTGTGTTATGTTTCATTTTTCTACTAATTGAAGAAACGGTACCTTCTATCAGGTGGGCTCTGCTCCCTAGGCTAAGTTGCCTTTGTGCGTGGAAGGGGATAGAACAGAATGAAATGGTTGTCTGTGTCAAGTCCTGCTAGGCAATCTGTCTTAGACTTGCTTACCTGGGATTAGAAATCCTGGCTAAAAGTACTGAGTAGCTCAGTTCAATTGCTTCTTGTAGGAATTGTTTGTACTTGTGATTATTTTTCCAGGTAATCTTTAAAAATGCAGACTTACAATAACAGACTGTAGTAATTAACTTTAATCATTTTTATGACAGCCTTTTAAAGAAAGTACAGAAACTTTACTTTTGTCTTTATCATAAACCATGTGAAATTTGGGGCAAAACTAAGTTTCAAGAAAGCTAAAAAGCCCTTAAATTAATTGGTTTTAAGACTTTTTTGAGATGTCCCGCTGTATTGTATACACTGGAAACTGAGACTACACTTTAGTTCAACTGAGACCTGAAAGTGGTTTCATGTTACTACTTAAGGCATTCTTCTAACTTGGTAGTAATTTCCACTTGATAAGTGGAAATAATTAAAAAGCTTATGCTTTTTCCTGTCAAAATGAAGCCTTGTTCCTCACATCAGAAATGATGTGAAGTAGGTAAGTATTGATGGAGTAAAAGGCATGAATCTCTGAACAGTTGTTCTTCTGATGTCAGACTCTGTCATTTTGGAAAGAAGCAAAACAAGACTTTGCACTTAGCAACTCTATTTCATGACACTACAGCTTCACTGGATACTGGTCCAATATTAATTTGAAAAAGATGTCCTGAAATCTGATGTGCAAATTCATGCTGGGATAATTTAGCTTTTCTTTCTTTATCAAAAAGTAGGGGTTTTGAGAGTTATCTGTACTATTTTATTTATAAATGTATCTTCTAATGCTTCTGCATTCCTTGCACTAGTAAATACTGGTTGTTTTTTTAAAATAATATTTATTTTTGAAATGCTGGCTCAGGGCAGCCAGCACTTGCAGTATGATCACAAAGAAGCTGTGGCTGTGCAGCCTCTTGGCTGGCTTGATAGACAGGATGTTCTCCTGGCTTTGTGAAGATGTTGTTTGCGTGCTGAGGAATCATTGGGAAACTTTCCCATTGTCAAACTTAATGTTTGAAATTATTTTAAGATTTTTTTTTTAATGTGTCTGTTTTTTAAAGAACTCTAGAGACAGCAGTATTGCCAAAGAAATTTCACTGGGATTGCACAATGTACAAGTTGGATCAATACTTTGTCCCAGTTGTATTTCTGGCAATACTTTATGTGCTAAGCACATTTTCAGTCATGTGCAGCGTCCTTATCTATGCCTGATGAGAATGCATTGACATTTTGTAGTCTTCAACTTGGAACAAGGCATTCTTAATGTTACAGTGGGCTAATACATTCTGGAACCAAGAATGCCAGTAGTCAATGCCACCTTCAAAATGGTATAGGAATTCAAAACTAAAATTAAAGAATTGTATTTATTCCTTCTCTTGCTTATTAGCCTTCTGAATTCCTTCAGTTGGCAACAGGTTCCCTTCAGGAAATGTCATCTTATGGACAACAGGCCCCAAAGTCAGTGGATAAAATGCCGAGATAGGAGCCACAAATTCCTTATTCTGTATCTTCTGGTCTATAGAACAGCGTGCTTTGCTTTTGTGGCTCAGATGTCTGAAAGACAGAGCTCTCAAAATGCTTATTGTATTGGCTTTCATAGTGGACTCTTGCCCAGAATTTTAACTGGCAGAGAGTACTAAAGTGGAAAAGGGATGTGTAACTAAAATGTAATCTTAATGATTTTGAATTTTAAATATCTGAAGATAATGCATCGTCACCACAGTTCCTCTATTTAAGAATCAAACTGAAAAGTATCTGTGGGGCTGTGTGTGTATGTATATGTGTGTATGTGTATTACATATATATATAAAAATATATTCACACACACGAAAAAGTAATCTTATTCAAGACTGTTTATTTAGTACCTCTGAAACTGGAAGGTGTTGGCTGCTTTGAATCAACTATAAACCAAGAACACAAAAATCTACAGGGGAAACCTATGTAGGGTTTTTTTTTCCCTGATGTCTGATGCAGTTTTGTAATTTTATACATGCAAATTAATGCAGGAAGTTCTGCAGTTTTACTTGTGCACAAGATTGTTTTATTCCTTTCTTTGTGGTATTTGAGTAGTGAATGTTTAACCCAGTTATCTTACTGCACATCAGAGCTGACTTCTCTGAAGAGTAGAAATGTTTGCCTTGACCAGGAATTTCCTTGGCCTCAGGCTCTCTGCCTGGCTGAGCTACCAAAACAGGGACCTGCTGGATATGGTGGAGGGCAGCCTGGAGAGCTGTTGTGAAACTTTATTGTTGGCCCTGCTTTTGTATGCCAAACTCTTAAGGAAGGGGTGCTGTGTTACATAGCTACATTGCACAGAAGCCTGGCTGAAACCTGGCTGGTAGCCTGTGAAGCAGCAGCATTACAAGGCTCTGTGTGTAAGACAGAAAAAAAATAAATAGTTTAAGTACCGCTTCTATCATCTTTCCACTTAAGACTGAATTAGAAATGGTTTTCCATTTTGCCCTCTCTTCTTGATGAAGAGGTGGGTGGGCTTTGTTTTACAGCTGTGATACTCGGCTCCTTTCACAATCTGCACATGCAGGGGAGGACCTTGCCAAAGGCACCCTGGGTTGTTGGCATCAACTGTCGGGTTCCTTCAGTCTGGGCCTGAGAGAAGCCTTTTGAAGGCAGTGTTGACACCTTTTAAATGAGATAGTCAAGTATGAAGCTATTTCTACAAACGCCTGCCTGCCTTTCCCCTTTCCCTTCGATGATAGATGATCGTACTCTGTATGAATCAGTACATTTAACAAAGGTACACATATACGTGTATGTGGTATAAACATCTAGATGTGAGTTCTAAACTACTGCCTCTTGATGGTGACCAAATGCAACTAACTGGTTTGGAGTGATTAATGTGTCGTTTGTTCTCATACACATACTGGGATTATCAGATAAGTAATTTGAAAAACTGATAATATTTACAGTTTTCTGGTATTTATCAAGAAGATTAAACAAATATACTGCTTTAAAGGACTCTTGATTTCTAGCTTTCAGAATGCTGTTCAAACTTCAGTCAAAAGGCTGGTAGTTACTACCTGATGTGGAGATTAACTTAATGCTGGAATAGGATAGCTGCTGAGTGTTGAAGTCTGTGCTCTTTGTCAAAAGCTGTTGTCGGACATGTGTGATGGCTGTTGTGCTTTGATAGCCTCCTTGAAGAAAAAAGTGTGGAGATGTTTATGTTTTACTAGTTCACTTAATGTAAGATAAATTAGTATCACTGGAGACTGAGTGTTACAAAAGAAAAATAATGAGATGTCTATTCTTTTCTCTTCCAGACTATCATTTTACTCTGGCCATTCTTCATTCTCCATGTACTGCATGCTGTTCCTAGCAGTAAGTATGCTCTTTCTACCTAAATGGCAACAAAAAGTCTGTTATTTACCTAGTACAAAACTTGAAATATTTACTTGGCTACTTTGCACAAGGGACATCATTGCTTTCCTAGGATGCTCGTTTGAGATAATTGAAGATTTCTCAGTAGGTTGTAAGGGACAAGAAGCAGAATTATGTTCAATATGCCTAAAAATAATTAATATGGCACTTGGCTTCTGTGTCTTGTCTCAAATGAACCCAGTGACAAATGGGTTTGGAAAATATGCTGCTACTTAATTTAAGTTATATTTGAAGTATTGCAAGCCATACAGAAATATCCAGTAAGATATGTCTCACTTAATGAAACATGCAAAGCTTATTTAAAAAAAACAGAGAAGGTAAATTTTAAACCCTGATCAAATATGGGTGGGTCCATAAGCATAAAACAGCAGATCAATTTTTAAATTCCTTTTAATTTTTTCCTATCTTCTAGGGGCAGGGACAGAGGGTGAGAGAAGTGAGGAGACAGATCTGTTTGTGAAAGTAAACACTAGCAAGATCAACTCACTAATGCTTCAGTTGGAGTCTAATATATTTCAGTTCAAACTTTTCCAAGTCAGTTAGGACAAATTATCTTCACTCCTAGGATAAGCTTTGTAACATGGAAAGACTGGTTTGGTTGTTCACCCCCTCCTAATTTGTAACACAGAAATTATTAAAAAACTTTGTGCAATTTTGTTGTTAATGTAGGTGTAAAATTAGGCTCTAGTCCTGGATATAAATTGCTGACATAATATGTAAATGCTGGGATCTTCACAGAACTCGGATTCAATTCGCCTTCTCATCTTGATTGCGTTTTTAATTCTTTCACTGTCTCTTGCAATAGTGTAACGTCCACAGTGACTGGACAGATTATTCAAACTAAACTAAAAGCCCTATAGCCACACACAAAAGGAGTGGCTCTTCAGTATGACATAGGTCTCTTTTTATCTTAAAATAAAGCCTTTTCTGAAGCTCAGTTTTTCAGTTTGGATATATCATTGCAGTTTGTTTATGGCCAATACCTGTTTCTTGCCCTCCCCTCTTACCTGTCTTTAATATAAATACAAAGAGTATACAAAAGTATTATGTTCTGGGATTGACTAGAATGTAGTGCAACTTCCTATCTGTCAGCTGTTTGGGGTTTTCTTGTTTGTTTGTTTTTTTTAAAATGTGTTTTTACTTGCTCATCATGACTGGCAGTTTCCAAAATTATATAGGTCCACTTGTGATATGATTCCAAAAATAAACCCCACTATTTTCTAAGTACAGTGGAGCAATTACTGCTATATAGCAACCTAATACTGATTTGCTCCATTGGGTTCAGCCATACCCTTGCGATCCAACTTCTCCATGCGTAGTTTTGTTGAGCAGCGTGAGAATGTGATACTACCACCTCTCAGCAGCACAAACTTGGAGACAAGAAAAAACTTGGTAGGTGTGGGGCAATGTGTATGGCTTATAATTTATACTGACTGGATTACAGTCGTTTGTCAGGGATCTGAATCCGTCTGAACTTTCAGCTTTGTCACGTGTATGTGTAGGGAGAGTCCTGCTTGCTGCAGCCTGGGGAGATGGTGGTGGTCAGGAGGACTTCTCAGCTGTACAGACTAGGAGAAAGGAGTTCCTATTTTCAAACCTTGCATCTGTTAATTAGAACCTGTGTGTGCTCTGGCTGCTGCGCACCCCCCACTTGCTGAAATATTGAGGCCATCTCTATTTGAATATGATATAATAGATGTGCTGAACAGCTTGGATTTCAGACCTTGTTTGTTTTACCTATTAGTATTTGAAAAAAAAAAAATTGCAGCATTTGGCAAGAAAGTCAAGGATTCTTTTTTTTTAAGATACTAACTTCATGTGGGTTGAATAATGCTTTCTGTAGTTGCTCATGGCATGGTTTTTTGAATCCATGCAAAGGATCCTGTGTGCAGAGTTCCTGAACCTTAGACCTTGCCTGTCTTGGGGCTTTGTGTGTGTGTGAGCTTCACTCTTAGCAACCTTCTGCATGGGGGAGAGGTGGGACACTGGAAGTCAAATCCATCCTCTGCATGCCACTTAAAAATCCAGAGCTTGTGTCAGTCCTGGTTCAGCAATGAAATAAAACTTGCTGTGACTCAGCATGCTGCTACAGAAATGGTCCTTGTTCTGTCGTAACTGCAGGACAACATGGCTTTACTTAGCTCCCTTAAACTAGAAGGCTACAAACATCTTTAACAGATGACACGTTAAAAGAGTTAAACAGTAAGTGTTTTTTTGGAGATCAGTTTGTTATTCAGTAAACTTGTCAGTGAGGAGCCAGAACCCTATCTGGAGGAGAAGGCATTCTTCAGCTATTCCTGCACCCCAGTTGTCTCTAGCTGAGCTATTGCCCAGTACAAATAAGAGGCTTTGTGGAGATTAGACTTCTACTTTCTTCTGTCCTGTAATAAGATTATTCATCTAGAAACTGTTGGGAGGCCTTCACAGGGGCGTCTGAAGAAGGTTAATAACTCCTGTGCAGGCTGTTTTTACCTTGCTGATTAACACAGCATTACTGCATGCCAACCTTTGCATTGGATGTGGTCTTTTTATTTAAAAAAAAATAAAAAAAGAGAAGAAAAGAAAATGTGCAGATGTCTTCAAGCAGACAGCTACTGCCATGAAGGTGAGGAAAACTGCTTTCTAGTCCCCTTCCCCCCTTGCCCACGTGGCAAAGCAGAGTGCTGCCACTGGCTTTAAACCAAACCTGTGGCACTTGATAACCTGTTCATTAACTGAACTCTGATGCTGGCTTCATCTCCTCTTTGCACACTTACTCCAGCCACGGACTGAGTCATTAGCGGGACAGAATTGTTAACATGTGGCATTACTCACAAGCAGTATTAATCATAACCAGACACTAGCATGCTGGGTTCTGGAGAGAGTGGAGGAGTCTGCTATGTGTGCATACTGCAGAGAGAGTACTCCTCTGTGTTACTTGCTGAACGTGTGTACTGTGTCAGGTTACGCATTTCAGAAATGAGGGAGCATTTTGGCGGAGTCAAAGGGGCAACGATCTCTGCCACAGACAGCACAAACACTGCAACCATGAAAGGAGAGATGGTTGAAGTGTGTGGCTTAAAGCCAGCTTGCAAAATACTAGGCAAAGGAGTGAAATGCTTCTGCAGCTTCAGTTACTTAAAGCAGAATTGCTGAATTACAAACAAGCTAAACTGTAGCTTTTTCATCTTCTGTGCACTTGCACATGATGGATTAAAAATGAACGTAAGGTGGTTCACCAGCACTTTCAAATGTTTTAGATGCTTTACACCTTTGGTGACGTGAGAAACTCCACAAGTGAGAGAGAACTGCGGTATCTTGAGTTCTGACTGGATGGTTTTGGTGGTATCGGGAGAAAAAACCCTGCAATTCTGAATGTAATCCTGTGCTGCATGTGCCCCCTCATAGTGGGGGCAGTACATGGAAGCACTTGACACAGCTCAGGATTTATATTTAATGTGAAGGAAGTTGTTGACAAAAACTGTAAGCTGTAGGTGCTGCTGGGTGGGTGTATTTTTGAAAGTTCATCTTTTAGAGCTGTTGTGCCTTTAATGTCTTCATATTATGGTGGCTTCATTCCAGATGATCTCTCATACTCTTGCTTCAGGAGTAATAGAAGAAAATGTTCAGAAGGAAGGATAGAAGCTGAAAAGCTTAAAATTCCAAACTGAAAATATGTAACTTGAATTTAAAAAAAGCTAAAGAAACATGAAAGAATATCATGCCACATGAACTGTTCAAAATGAATAATCCATGCAAGCACGTATCTGGGAATTTGAAGCATTTCTCCTTAGTTTGTCTTTTGATTTGTGGGACAGCATTGGAGAGCAGAACTTAACTTTTAACTTCAGGAATGGAAATACTTACTTGATATGTAATTTGGGCTCATGTGTTTCTGGGAGGACATAAATAACCTTTGTTCCCCAGCATTTACAGTTACTTAATATTGTCTTTCGTAGGTTCCTTGCAGGATTAGCATTCACCTTTCATGCATGTGGCAGTCAAAACTTTTAAAGGTTTTCTAATTAAAAGGAACAAATCTGTGATACCATATCGACTTACATACTTCCATAGTTGATAGCAGCTTCATTAAGCTAGTCCCTGCTTAAAGCCCTTTATGGCAAACTAAACTTGAATGAATCTACATTTTGTTACGACTTTTGAATTGTCAGTGTGTTCATGTGCAAAATCTCTACTTGAACTGGTCTTATGTGGCTGCTGTATGTGACTATCTGGCACTAAAACAGGAGCAAGGGCAGTGCCTACTGCAAGTCACTGTGGCACTTGCCATTGAGAAAGGAGGCCTGCTTGTCTGCAGAGTAAGGAGAAGAATGAATTAATTCTGTTTCATAAAACACTTACTCTACCAAGTTCTGAAGAATGATAATACAATAGAAATGTCTGGGTTTTGAATAACTTTAGGGAAAGTTAAATAGTTTGTATTATCTACCTATTTAAATAAGCAGTAGTGTATGTCCCTTACTATTCTTGCATCGTAGAGATCACTGCTGAGTTTTTAACTGGATGTTGCGTTGCCCTACACCTGTAAAAAAAAAAAAAAAAAAAAAAAAAAAAAAAAAAAAGCCATTGTATCTAGCTGGATCAGGTTAAGGCCTGGGTTTTGAGCCCACTTCCAGGTTAGACTTACGGTTTCCTCTATTTTGTAACTCATTGGCATATGGAATAAGTGAAGCTACAGAAAAAAATCTGCTTGCAGACTGTCAGGCCAGGAAGTTGTGTTGGAGAATGTATTTTGAGATTCGTTTGGCAAAGCTAGGTGGGTCAGTTTGGGTCCAGACGGAGCCATTATCTCTGGGAAGCTTTTGCCAACGACAGCTTCATGTGGAAACTAGAGGGAGTTTGAGCCACAACAGTATGTGGGAACCCAGTGACCTAATGACAGATGCTGGATCCCAAATGGTCTCCACAATCCCCTCCCCCTGCTGCTCCTTTCCTTTCAT